TTGCCTTCTTTCCCTCATTATTAAGTCTGTGAAATTCATTCATGTTGTTGTGTGTAGCAGTGGTTGGTTCTTTTTTATTGTTGTATGGTGTTCGATTGTTTAAATATACAACAATTGATTCTCTTATTGATGGATATTTGTTTTTTTGTTGTTGCACATTTTGGCTGTAATGAATAAAAATTTTCAAATGTGTCTTTTGGTAGACATATGTGCTCATTTCTCTTGGGTATGTATCTAAGGTAGAATTGCTAGGTCATAGGGCAAGTGTGTGTTTAGTTGTAGTAGCTATCACCAAAGAGGTTTTATCAGTTTATTCTCCCACCAGCAATGTATGAGACTTCCGGTGGCTCTACGTTCTTGCTAGTCCTTGGTATTGGTGGTCTTTTGAATGTTCTCCATTCAGGAGGCTGTTTGTTATATTTCCCTGTGGTTTTAATTGTTTTTCCCTAATGAATCATCATGTTGGGCCCTATTTCTTATGCTTTTTGGCCATTTGTCCTCTTTTATGAAGTGCCTATTCAAGTCATTTATCCATTTTATTAATTGGGTTGCTCATTTTTTTTTTTTTTTTTTACTATTTATGTGTTGCCATTCTTTACATATTATGGATGTGAGTCTTATTGGAGATGTAAATTACCAATGTCTTCTCTTATTCTGTACTTTGCCTTTTCACTTTCTTTTATTTATTTATTTTTTGTGTGAGGAAGATCAGCCCTGAGCTAACATCCGTTGCCAATCCTCTTTGCTGAGGCAAGATTGGCCCTGGGCTAACATCCATGCCCATCTTCCTCTACTTTATATGTGGGACGCTGCCACAGCATGGCTTGACAAGCGGTGCATCAGTCTGCGTCTGGGATCCGAACCTGTGAACCCTGGGCCGCCAAAGCGGAGCATGCGAACTTACCTGCTAACGCCACCGGGCCGCGCCCCCCTTTTCACTTTCTTAATAGTGTCTTTTGATGAATGGAAGTTCTTCATGTTGATGAAGTCCAATTTATCCATATTTTTTCTTTATGATTAGTGCTTTTGGTGTTCTTTTAAAAAACTCATTGTCTTTCCATCTCTTGGGTATTTTGAGGCAGAAAAAAAAATGTGGAGAACCACTGCTGTAGAAAGTAAGCTACAGTCACATTGGACACTATTAGATTCCTGTTTTGGGATTGGCTGTTTGCCTAAAGTGGTGTTCTGAGCCCTCATATTTATGCAGCACGTTAGGTTTTACAGAGCCCTTTGGCATTCCATCTGATTTGATCCCATGCAGGAGCTCATTAAGATATTTGCAAAGGGGCCTAGTTAATTTTGAGGGCAGACGACTTGGGTGGTCAACATGAGCTCTCTGGGGGCTGCAACGCCTTCACATTTGCCGTGGCCTTGTGCGAAAGGATAAAGAGTTAGATTGCTAGGTTCAGATCCTTGCTCTATAACTGTAGACAAGGTACTTAAACCACTCTGAGCCTTGGTTTTCTCATCTGCTAAATGGGAGTAATGAGAATATACTTACCTCGTGATGTAGTTGTGAAGATTAAATAAATGAATTTATATATAGTGCTGAGCACAGCATCTGGCACATAGTGCTGGGTTATTATTATTGTAGTTGTTCTTTTATTATGGTGTTTGATAGGATAACAATTCTTTGTAGAGCTAGAAAGAGCTCTATTTACTCCATTTCTGTTTTATTGTTTTACATTTCCCTTCCTCCTTCTATACCACTCCCCTCGAGAGTTCTCTCCCTTTCTGTCTCCACTTTTGTCATGAAAAGCTGGATGCATTTCAAACATGAACTAAATTGACACCCCATATTAGAGGGTCTGAAAGTGTGCCAGTCTTATAGGGACTGACTTGGAAAGTATAGGGTCATTGAGAGTTTTGGTCTTTTTGTTTTGTTTTGAGGAGTGGTGGCCAGTAGGGGCATAGGGAGGGTGAATATGGAAAGAAAGTTATTGCTTGATTCCCAAATAAAGAAAGTTGACCCTTTTACCTTGGTGCAAGGAAATTCACACATAAGAGATTTATATAATAGTGGTTTAAATCTTAATGAAGGAAAAGAAACTTGGAGCTGAAGGAGTGTTTTGTAAATGCCTAGAAAGGATACCATGATCCAGGTGTACATCCAGGAGGCTGAGAGAAAATTATCTGAATTTGAGGTGATCGGATTAGAACGAAGTGTGTTAAATCCACTTTATTCAGTTCTCCACCACCCCCTCCCACAGAAAAAGGGAACAAAACCACATGTGGAAAAGAACTTGTATTTTGATATTTCTTCTTGAAATTAAAACAAATCCTTTTGACCTTCCTGGATACTAAGGCCAAGTGGCCCACCCTTTACAGCCTCTGAGTTTGTCTGAACTTCCTCTTTGTGGCTCTGGGTGGAAATTTCACACTGTGTGCCATGAAGTTGATGTGACATCTGCAAGGTCCCTGAGATCTTGGTATGCTAGGCAACTATTGTGGTCTCACTGTTTGCTGCTGAGCACCTAGCAGGAAATGAACTGGAGACACGTTGGCTGCTTGACCCCAGTGTAGAAAGGAGGGTGTCTTTGCTCTCCAGGGCAGGGGAACAGGAAGGAAAAGGGTGGGGGCGGGTGGGCAGCCCAACGTGGTGGGCGTCAGACCTAACTGTGCATCGGCATTCACCTGATGAGTTGGTTGAAATCCAAATTCCCAGGCCCAGCCCGGAAGTTCAGATTCAGTAAGGTGGGGTTGGGCTGGGAATCTCCATTTTAAGGAAAGGCCTGATTTTGAAGCCGGTGGTCCAGGCACAGCACTTTGAGCGACACTCAAAGATCCAGGTCGAAGGACTGGAGAGTTGTGCAGTGGACTGCAGCTTCATAGACTTTTTGTCTCAAAGCCATTAAAGCTTTGTGCTTGGCTCTTTGTAAGGTGGAAGAGGAGAATCAATCTACTGTGTCCCCAAACTACAGGGTCAGCTCTGTAGAGCCGTGGCTGCCGGCAGACTGCAGCCACTGAGTGGATCTGGCACACTAAATAACTGGGCTGATGGTGGGAAGTGGGTACCTGGGTCTGAGAATGAGAATTTCTGAGAAGAGGAGGGAGAGCCCTGGCAGATGCTGGTGGAGAGCAGTTATTAGTATCTCCTGAGTTCGTGTTAGGGTGCCAGTGCCCAGTGTGGCCTTCGCAGGAATGACCACCCTCTCAGGAATCAGTGTCCCTCCCATCACCTGCCTCTTATGCTCAATACACCCACTCATCCACCAATTTACCCACCCTCCCTCCCACACACTCCCACCCCTACCACCACCACTCCTCTCTCCATCTCTCTCTCACTCTGTCTCTGTCTCTCTCTCTCTCTCTCACACACACACACACACACACACACACTCATTCACAACCTCACACATTCAGACGTCTACCCTAACGCCCCTCAAATCCAGAGCCCCTCTGTACTTAACATGCTCACATCTTTGAGAATGTTGTTTCTTAGAGGATATTGAGGGATGATCAATGAAAAGATCTAATGTGTTCTCTAAAATATGTTCAACATAAAGAGATCTAGCGTATTCGTTGGAAGTATAGAAATAAGCCAGTGATTATAAGTGGGTCAGTGATCAGGCTTTGGTGCTTGTGGGGCCCGGGCTTATGCTGCTCAGGGCGTGGCTTAGCCTGTGTGTGTTTCAGTACTGCACTTCTCTGTGATCATTAGCAGTGCTATGGACTCAGATGGTAATAAAATTTAATTCTTGCTCAGTGGACTTCTTCCTCCTTTTTAGGCTTTCTCAGACTTGCAAGATGAGCATGTGAATCAGCAATTCTTAACTTTTTGAAGGTTGCAGTCTTCTTAGTAACCTGATGGACAGTTTGAATTATTTCTACAGAAAATAACATACATTTGAAGGGGGGAAAGTGGTTTATGGACTCTCTGGGCCCATCTGTGGACCCTAAGTAAAGAACAAGTCTTTTCATGAGCCTAGAGGGCTTTTAGCCCCTTCTCCCAAGTTCATTTGTATGGCACAAGTCTCTTCTTGTGGCGTGCCATCTGTAATGGGAACTCAACAAACACCGCTTGATATTGTGTGCATTCTTTCTGGAGGGTTTGTGCTCAGTTTCAAAGAGCAAGCAGATTTCGATGAGAGAGTGAAAAAAGCTGATACATATAAAGAACTTAGCAGCTGACATGGCAAGTATTCACTTAAAAAATGCTGTATACATTTATGGGCCGGCCCCGTGGCTTAGCGGTTAAGTGCGCGCACTCTGCGACTGGTGGCCCAGGTTCGGATCCTGGGCGCGCACCGACGCACCGCTGCTCCGGCCATGCTGAGGCCGCGTCCCACACACAGCAACTAGAAGGATGTGCAACTATGACATACAATTATCTACTGGGGCTTTGGGGGTAAAAAAAAGGAGGAGGATTGGCAATAGATGTTAGCTCAGAGCTGGTCTTCCTCTCTCTCTCTCTCTCTCACACACACACACACACACACACACATAAATACTATATACATTTAATATAATCATAATTACAAAGCTGATTATCTCCATAAAAATTCTCCACGTCAAAAGCAGTTTAGGGGGATTGGACTAGATGTTAGGAGACCAGGATCCCTCCAGCTTAGATCTTTGCCCCTCTTTGTGTCTCAAGTCCAGTAATTCCATTCACTTCCATAAATATTTATTGGCACTGCTGCTCTGAGTAAAGCACTCTGTTAAGCATTTTGGAGAATAAGAATGAATAAGATTTCAAGGAACAAATAAGTTCTAAAGGAATCACCTTACTCATCTTGTCCCTTACCTGTAAGTAAGGGCCTATCTTCTACATTTCTTCCTGCCTCCCTAAGGGAGAAGGGCTTAATGAGAGGAACTGGGGAGATGGCTTTAATTTCTGAGACTGGAAGGGGGCTCAGGAAAGCGACAGGTCTGCCTGTGTTTGTGCCATTAACCCACATCTCTCACTTTGTTGAGTGGGTGTTTCTTTAAGGTTCACCTCGTCAGGATCTCTCTGGTTGTGGCTCTCGGTTCATATCTGTGTTCTCCTTTCTCCGCAGGCCAGGGCTTATCACCATGCAGGCGTTGTCAGAAGAGGACCGGAGGCTCTGGATGGAAGCCATGGATGGCCGGGAACCTGTAAGTAACAATTCAGGGAAGTAGAAGCAAGAATGAAGGTCCTGAGTGTTTGTTGCTTCACTGTGCAGTGGTTTCTGCTGGTGCTTCAAAGCCTTGGGTTCTCAAGACCAGTGTACCAGAGGGAGTTTTTTATTCGCAGGCTGAGGTTTGTAGATGCTGATGTTGCTTCTGTGTGGAGGCAGTCCCTGAGCTTTGGCCTCAAAGTGTAAGGCTTGGTTTCGGCATGATACTGCGCAGAATTCTCCCTTTGCCAAGGCACTTGTAGCTCCCTTAGGTCTCTTAGAGGAGGCAGAGTCCTGTTGGGCGTAGTGAATATTTATTGACCATCAATGCCTCCATGAAGTAGAGTGTAAAGGATTATCTCAAACCCATTTTAATGGGTTACATGATCATAAAAATGTATCTAGATTATGCAGCATCTTTTATCATCACCTTCTGGTTCAGCCTCCCACTGCTATAGTAGCCCACATCCCATTATAAGCAGTGGGGTTATCAGGGTCAATGGAGGAGTTAAGCCTGGTAATGTGATCTGTGCTCCCATTTCAGAGATGCTGGCTTCCTCTGGGTGATGTAATCTTGTGTTTTTTCTGCATCTTGTGACATGTAAAACCCACAAAAAGCCCTGGGGAAGTCCCTAGAGTCAGAGTAGTCATCTTACTTGGGTGCCAAGGATCTCAACTCCAGTGTTCAATAAATCTCAAGGTTACAGAAATCCTAAGAACACAGTCTAACCAGGTCCCACCAGTAAAAGATAAAAAGAATCCACAATCTCAGAGGGCCAATAATTATCACATGCAAAGGCACTGTCCAGAGGGGCAAATGTGTGCAAGGGACATCAGGCCGTGGCCTCCGTTGACTGTAGAACTCTGCGTCAAGCTGGGTGTCCAGTAGAGGTGATTCCAGTTCACTTATGTGTCTCTTTCTCAGCCCATCCTGGTTAGGTGATCTATATTGATTAATGTACCTTTCTACTCAGCCATTTTGTATATAAACATGGAACTCAATTCAATCTACGGAGCATAAACAAATAACTAGCGTTTGTATAACATTTAATAATATAGAGCAGGATTTAAAGATTTCAGCACAGTTTGCTAAACTTGAATTAAACATTGTTTAATCTTAATTCTTCTCTGGGATAAAATAAAGATACCCCTGATTTTCTTTGAATATGTTGTTACTGACAGAAAACTCTCTCAAAAGCAGATATACATTTCTTCCTTTAGGGCTTGGTGGGCACAAGAACTGCCTGATGTGAGAGGTCTTTGAAAGCAGCTTCCTAAATAGTCCTTCATATCTTTACTATTATCATCTCCCATTAGTTGAGCACTTTTTTTGTGTGTAAGGCAGAGATTTGACACATTATATCTCTTAACTCATTTATTCCTCCTAGTACCTCATGAAAAATAAGTGTTATGATTCCATTTCACAGATGAGGGAACTGAGGCTTAGGAGAGGTTAAATAACTTGCCCTATGTTACGCAGAAGTAAGTGGCTGTGTTAGTAGGATACAGGCTAGGTTACTAAACACATAGACTCCCAAGTACAGTGGCTTAAATAAGATAGAAGTTTATTTTTCCCTGAGAGCCCAGAAGTGAGCCATCCATGCCTGGCAGGGTCGTTTTGCCATCCTCAACCTGTGGTCTCCCAGGTTACTCCAATTGTTGCCATTTTCCAGCCAGATAATGGAGATGAAAGCATCCAGAACCCGGAAGGTGCACACATCATTTCCATTGTCCTAAACATAATTATATGACCACATATGTCTGCAAAGGAGGGTGGAGAATCTAGGCTGTACATAGGCAGCCGTGGGACCAGCCGGTACCCAGGGCATTTTATCACTTCGAGGAAGAAAAAGAGAAAGAATACTGTGGGGTGGTTAACAGTTTCTACCACAGTGGCAAAGCTAGAATTTGAACCCACGGCTAGCCCTAGAAGTATTTGGTTTTCATCTTGAATAGAGATAAAATGTCAAATTGCCTTCTAAGAATACTCACTCAGTTCGTTTTTACAATACTTGCTCTGACTCTCTTGAATGTTTCTTCAAGCTGTAGGGGAGGAAATACCCAGGAAGAAAAATCCTGTCAGGGCATACTATTCTTGTTATGGATAAAAAACACACTACTGTTGGTCTCCCCCCCCCGCCCCCCCAATAAGCTGGGATTCTAAACACTCCATTTAAAGCCTCCCCCTCCTCCCTCTCCCCACGACTTGGTATTTGCTCTCTGTATATAATTGGTCTTCTTACTAACCACTTCAGTTTTCCTGTAGATTAACATCTGGCCTCTGCAGATGGAAAGCGTGCTGTTGCAAGAAACATTTCTTTGCTCCAGAATGAACACATTAAAACATGTTTAAATACAAAATAATTCTGTTTCTAAACATAGTATAAAATTATTTCCTCACAGGAACATATAGCTCCCATTGAAAACCACACCTCTGTGTGCTTTTTAGTTTCCTAAAGAGAGAGATAAATACAGACAAATGATGACTGCATAATTGGCAGGAATAATAGGCTTAATTTTGTCTCCCATCGCTGAGAGCTTCTAGGAAACATTACTGGAGATGTATACCCCGTAAACAATTAGCAGCTTCAGTTTTAATCACCATCTCCCTAATTAGTTAAATCTGTCTCCTTGGGAGTTTTGGCTTTGGTAAAGGAGCAGAAACTTCTTTCTCTAGCTGGTCTTAGAGTCTTTCCCTTATTTCAAGGAGATGTTAATGGTGGCATCTATCTTTTGTTTTTACGCTTTAGCTCAGTTGTTCTGTGATTAGTTATTCAGTGTTGCATTTCTTTTTGAGGGGTAAGGTAATTTTGGTTTCCATCCTTTTTGTTCTTTCATTGTTCAGTAGCACCCCAGGATGGTTCATTAGGAAAAAAACCTAAATGAACCCCAAATCAGTTGATTTTTCAATGTTTCAGCTAATTGTTACATAAATTATAGTTTTTAGTACTTAATGACATTCAAGTCCAAAGAAATGTCAAATATCTTTATGGTATTGATGAATATATAATGGAGGAAGAAATTAGAATTGTGCTCCTATGGTGAGAATTGTGGATTTTATCTATGTAATAAATTTGAATTCAAATGAAACCCAATTCAAACTTGCCTGAGAAAGAGGTGGCTATGTTGGCTTACGTAACTCGAAAGTATTGGGGTATAATAGGTCTGGCCCATCTGAATCCAGGAACTTAGATAATATTTGGAGTTGGTTTCTTCTTTTGTGTTGGCTTCATTTCCAACGGGTTCTTTCTCTGTAGTGCTGATATGCTTCCTAACTGTTCAGGCTTAGATCTTATTATCAAGAGCAGGGGTTAGGAAACTTTCTGTAATGGGCCAGATAGTAAATATTCTAGGCCTTGGAGGCCATATGGTCACTGTTGCAGCTACTCAACTTTGCTATTGTAGCTGAAAAGCAGCCATGGACAATATGTGAATGAATAGGTGGGGCCATGTTTCAATAAAATTTTATTGACAAAAACAGGTAGAAGGTCAGATTTCAGTCATGGGCCATAGTTTGTTGATCCTTGATCTACAGGTCTAGTGAGAAGAGAGCTTTACTTAATAATTCCAAAGAAGTCTCGTATTTGAATTTTATTGGACTAAATACTTGGCTAAGAAGATGAGACAGGTGAATTGACCAGGCCTGACTCACCTGCCCACTGCATCAAAACTGCATAAATGGGGGAGGAAGCTTGGCTTCTCCTCAGCCTTGTTATGTGAGGAAGGGAAGTAGACATGAGGTAGGCAAAAATGACACAGTTTCTCCCTACTCTGATATCTATATTCCATTAAATTTTCTATTCAAAGACCTTGCTTTTTGATATTTAGTCAAGAGTGAAAACCATAAGTTTACCAGAAACATCATACTTAATGGTGAAAGACTGAATGCTTTCCTCCTAAGAATGGGAACAAGACAAAGATGTTCACTCTTTGGCACTAAGAGTGCCAACACTCTTATTCAGCATAGTACTGGAAATCCTAGCCAGTACAGTAGGGCAAGAAAATAAAATAAAAGACATCCAGATGTGAGTCTACAACAATTTTTTAAAAACTCAATGAGCTAGCTAGTCAGATAGTTTTAAAATGATTCTGCTGGATTTTCTTCACTTCGTATAAAATCTGGTTTGACAAGCTACAGAGAGTCACCTTTTCAGCCGCGTGAGCTTTCATTTTAATCGTCTGTAGCCATTGTCTCAGGTTTAAGAACAGACTTTCCATATTAAATTGGACATGGAACCTTAGTTTAAGCTGCGTAAATACTGCAACTGAGAGAAATTCTAGAGACAGCAAATTTCCTTTTTCTTGGTTTATAATGGCTAAAGTTTTCTCTTCCTTTCTCTTTGCATATTGCTCATAAGCATGTTTGCTAAAAGCAAGCAGATTAGAATCACTACCAACCCACCATCATTGCCAACACATACACCCCCATCCTGAAGTATTTATTTTTCTCTCTCCACTGTGGAAAGATGACTCAGCAAGTCAGTGGGACTAATAGGGTGATCCACAGCCTCAGAGGTTGGATCTGCCTCTTTAAATTGCTTTCCCATGTATTTCCCTAGCTGTGATTAGTGGTCTCTGCCTGGAATTTCTTGTATTACCTTCTTATTTTAGAGGTATTAGTCCTTCACATCTCAAAGGTTCTTTAGTAAAATTAAATATTTCTCCACTTTGTGCCAGTATTTGAATCTCTCTTGACAGCCAGAGCGTTAGAAGGTTGGTAGATGCCAGAATTGTGTGAAATTACATTAGGAAGATAAGAAACAGGTGGTATAGCATCCAAGGTTGTGTGTAAAGCCATGTATTAGTTTGAAACTATGAAATTGCTGCCTTTGCAGGTCGAAAATGGACAGATATTGGCGATTTCATATGCCTCAACCTCATGGCTGTCAGCAGAAAGAAGCCCACACGTAGGCTGGTATCACACTCTTATTTGTATAAGAGGGAATGCTGCCTAAAAAGGCCGGTCAGTGGTTGATCTTGGGTAGATAATCCAGGTCT